TTCTGGTTTTCCATCCCAAATTTCCATGGAAAAATCCTTTGGAATTCTCTATTCCCATCCCAAATTCCCAGGGAAAATTCCTTTGGAATTCTCAATTTCCCATGCCAAATTTCCTTGGAATTCCAAGAACCCTTTGGAATTCTCATTTCCCACCCCAAAATCCCTTTGGAATTCTCAAATTCCCATCCCAAATTCCCATGGAAAATCCCTTTGGAATTCCAGTTTCCCACCTCAAAATCCCTTTGGAATTCTGGTTTTCCATCCCAAATTCCCATGGAATTCTAAAAACCCTTTGGAATTCTGGTTTTTCATCCCCAAAGTCCCTTTGGAATTTTCAGTTCCCATCCCAAATTCCCATGGAATTCCCACAAATCCCATGGGAATGCCAAATTCCCACGGAAAAATCCCTTTGGAATTCTGAGTTTCCCCTCCAAATCCCTTTGGAATTCTCAATTTCCCATCCCAAATTCCCTTTGGAATTGTCAATTCCCACTCCAAATTCCCACGGAATTCCAAGAATCCTCTGGAATTCTGGATTCCCACCTCAAAATCCCTTTGGAATTTCCAATTCCCATCCCAAATTACCATGGAATTCAAAATCCCTTTGGAATTCTGGTTTTCCATCCCAAATTCCCAAGGAAAATCCCTTTGGAATTCTGGTTTTACCATTCCGAATTCCCATGGAAAAATCCCTTTGGAATTCTCATTTTCCATCCCAAAAATCCCTTCGGAATTCTCATTTCCCATCCCAAATTCCCATGGAAAATCCCTTTGGAATTCTCATTTCTCATCCTGAATTCCCATGGAAAATCCCTTTGGAATTCTGGTTTTTCTTCCCAAAATCCCATGGAAAAATCCCTTGGAATTCTGGTTTCCCACCCCAAATTCCTGTGGAAAAATCCCTTTGGAATTCTCATTTTCCATCCCAAAATCCTTTTGGAATTCTCATTTCCCATCCCGAATCCCCATGGAAAATCCCTTTGGAATTCTGGTTTTTCTTTCCAAATTCCCATGAAAAATCCCTTTGGAATTCTGATTTTTCCATCCCGAATTCCCATGGAAAAATCCCTTAGGAATTCTCATTTTCCACCCAAAAATCCCTTTGGAATTCTGGTTTTTCCATCCCGAATTCCCATGGGAAAATCCCTTTGGAATTCTCATTTTCCATCCCAAAAATCCCTTTGGAATTCTCATTTCCCATCCCAAATTTCAATGGAAAATCCCTTTGGAATTCTGGTTTTCTACCTCAAAATCCCTTTGGAATTCCAGGGATCCTTTGGAATTCAGGTTTCCCATCCCAAATCCCCATGGAATTCCCACAAATCCCATGGGAATGCCAAATTCCCATCCCAAATTCCCATGGAAAATCCCTTTGGAATTCTCAATTCCCACGCCAAAATCCCCTTGGAATTCTGGTTTCCCATCGCAAATTCCCTTTGAAAATCTCAATTTTCCATCCCGAATTCCCTTGGAATTCCAAGAACCCTTGGGAATTCTCAATTCCCACCCCAAATTCCCAGGAAAAATCCCTTTGGAATTCTGGTTTTTCCACCCCCCCAAATTCCCTTTGGAACTCTGGAATTTCCCATCCCAAATTCCCTTTGGAATTGTCAATTCTCACTCCGAATTCTCACGGAATTCCAAGAATTCTCTGGAATTCTGGATTCCCACCTCAAAATCCCTTTGGAATTTTCAATTCCCATCCCAAATTTCCATGGAATTCAAAATCCCTGTGGAATTCTGGTTTTCCATCCCAAATTTCCATGGAAAAATCCTTTGGAATTCTCAAATTCTCATCCCAAAATCCCATGGAATTCTAAGAACCCTTTGGAATTCTGGTTTTCCATCCCAAAGTCTGTTTGGAATTTTCAGTTCCCATCCCAAATTTCCATGGAATCCCATGGAAAATCCCTTTGGAATTCCGGTTTTCCATCCCAAATTCCCATGGAATTCTAGGAACCCTTTGGAATTCTCATTTCCCACCCCAAAAATCCCTTTGGAATTCTCAAATTCCCATCCCAGATTCCCATGGAAAATCCCTTTGGAATTCTGGTTTTCCATCCCAAAATCCCAAGGAAAAAAACCTTTGGAATTCTGTTTTCCCATCCCAAATTTCCATGGAAAATCCCTCTGGAATTCTCAATTCCCAGCCAAAATCCCTTTGGAATTCTGGTTTCCCATCCCAAATTCCCATGGAAAATCCTTTTGGAATTCTCCATTCCCACCCGAAATTCCCATGGAAAACCCTTTGGAATTCTCATTTCTCATCCTGAATTCCCATGGAAAATCCCTTTGGAATTCTCATTTTCCACCCAAAATCCCTTTGGAATTCTTGTTTTCCATCCCAAAATCCCTTTGGAATTCTCATTTTCCATCCCAAATTTCGATGGAAAATCCCTTTGGAATTCCGGTTTTCCACCTCAAAATCCTTTTGGAATTCCAGGGATCCTTTGGAATTCAGTTTTCCCATCCCAAATTCCCATGGAATTCCCACCAATCCCATGGGAATGCCAAATTCCCACCCCAAATTCCCAGGAAAAATCCCTTTGGAATTCTGGTTTTCCCATCCCAAAATCCCAAGGAAAAAAACCTTTGGAATTCTGATTTTCCATCCCGAATTCCCATGGGAAAATCCCTTTGGAATTCTCATTTCCCATCCCAAATTCCCACGGAATTCTAAGGAACCTGTGGAATTTTCACTTCCCATCCCAAATTTCCATGGAAAAACCTTTGGAATTCTGGATTCCCACCCCAAAAATCCCTTTGGAATTCTCAAATTCCCATCCCAAATCCCCATGGAATTCCCACAAATCCCATGGGAATGCCA